GAACATGATCCCCTCCCGGTGTAATTTCACCCACAGTAGCGCGATCGCGCGATCACAGCGATCGCGCGATCCAAATCACGCGATCCGGATCGCGCGATCGCGAAGTCTGAACGCGCTCTTACATAGAACGTCATGATCGCACGCAAGAAACCGCGACTACAGTCTCGTTCGCTGTGAGTGAAGGCGCGGCACCAGCCCTTACTTTTTTTTCTCCCGGTAAGTGACAAGACTGTACCATATAGTTTACGTATGTCGTTTTGTTGTTGCTTACTCGCTTCAACGAACAACGTGGAGGACGGAATGGCGGCGCACCAAATCCAACCTTCACTGACCCCAAATTGGTCCGCCGCGGAACTGTGGACTGTAGACTATGATAGTCTAAGCGCCCTCATCACTCATTGAGGTGCGATGATGGAACAGTCTTGGCGATTACGCACCGGACCACACGGGCAAGGCAGGAATCCTACGGGTTGGTTGAGCGCGGGTCATAAATGTTCAAATCGTGAATGTTTAATCGAGAACATAAAAGGGCTAAGAAAACCAGAAGTTCTTCCACTATTTCCAAGAAAATGACAATTTGGAACAATGGACGATTAGAACTTAGAAATTCAGGGATTTTTTTAACTAAATCGAAAGTGAGAAAGTGTTACCCACGTTGTTCAGAGATTTCCGCTTCTCTTCATATTCTGTTAGAATCTCTCCAAAAGATTCTTTACATTCACGTTTTTCCTCATCACATGCTTCAATTCTTGCGAGCTCCTCAGCAACGTTTCCCTCCAATGACGAAAACGCCTCAGCATGACGCTAAATTTTTTAACTTCAGGCAAATACAAGTAAAGCGCAACTATAAGCACATACAAAAGGCCATCGTAGATCTAGTGATGCTCAAAATTGAACTGACTCTTTTCTTAGCATCCTCCACACGAGTAAGATCTTCCTGTTGGGACTCTAGGACAGCTTCAATTTCCCTTAGTTCACCTTCCAGTGATTTGATTTCTTCTGCTTTTTCCACAGCAACTTTCTCGCAGTGCTCGGAGTTCATCTAAACTTAGCGATCATCATAAGTAAAAACGGCACAGATGATGAAAAAGGGTTCAAACCAACCAAAGACATGTAGTAGGTGAATGCTGTGAGTTTTCGCTCTCGACGCTCAATTTCGCGAT